GAGGGATGAAACACAGCATAGGAAATCCTATAATGGGATCTAAATCCTACCAAAGAAAAAAAGATGCCTCCCTTGAGTAGTTATACTTCAGTGTGGTTCAACCAGCCATAGATTTCGTTCAAGCGTTGATTCCTCCTTTCATACTTGTTTCTCAGATATACTTGGACAAATACATCAAGTGGATAAAGCCAATTATAGATTTGATGACTCCATGCTTAGTTCATAAGGATACACATCCACATGCATCTCCAGCTTATAATGTGCCAAAAGATGATGGATACTTAATCTATCAAGATGTACTTTGGAATGACAATGCCTACAAGATTTTACAGAGAGATTATGCAATTGATATGTATCTTGAGAGCTGAGGCGTTAAATTATGCCTGGAAGTTAAATCATGCCTAGGCACATCCGAACAGTCTGGTCCAACATCCGTGAGAATCAACTAACTTGTCCAAGTCAAGTATCTTCTCTTTCAAGTAGAGGGGCGCGCTCCTAATTATCTTATTACAATATATTTGATTCATGTAATTTAAATTGGCAGTTTCTTCATGTATTCTGTCAGGACACCCGTCGGCGTCTAGGTTTTACCTTCTAGGGTTGTATCCAAAGATTAGTGGTGCTCCAGTTATATCACATCCGGGATGTGATTGTCCTCGACCTTCCCACTTAGTAAACTTCCCTTCTCTGTTTTTGTCGCCGCCATATTTGTTGCAGCCATCGAAAAATAGCCACTTTACAGTTTTCCTACAGTAGTTCACCACCTCTCATCCCTTCCCAATTTGTTTTCCCTTGTCGCCAACCCTTCTCCTCACTATTGTCATCCCGAGGATAGCCCTCTTACTGCCTTTTTGTGATTCCCAAACTCCCTATTGTTTCCATCATTATTCTAACCATCCCATTACCCTCTTCCACCTTCTCTTAGCCATCAACCTCATTGTCACAGCTCCGTAAACCCCTCACCTTGCTGCCTACCACTGTGCAACCATCCCCACACCTTCCTCCAGCCTTTCCAGCCATCCAACATCGTTGTTGCAGCCTCACAACTCGATCTCCTTGTTGCGCTACTGTTGTCTGGTCATCACATAACTACCACAACCCACCCCATTCTCTTTTTTATGCCGCCCCACCATCCTACTCTCTAACCACCCATTGCTATCTCTTAGGAGATCCAAATCTTCATTGATCACCACCATCACTCCCCTCCTGGATCTAGCCCTAGCTTGGGATTGTGTTGTGTTGTCAATTGTTGCAATTTCAATTTTTCCTGAATCGTTGGCAATTTTTTATTTGAATCCAACAATAATAGTTATTTTTCTATTGTTGTTTGGGTTAACTCCAGTATATTATACCCTTAGCTAATATGTATTCTCTAGTATGCCCGTATTTTATTTTTTAACACCTACCTAATTTTTTCAATCAAAAGAAATAATTCATTTTTTAAAAGAGTTAATTGGGTACATTGAAACATGCATATTAAATTTCATATCATTTAAAGAAAAAATATATAAAGCTATGCATACACAATGTGTTTCCAATCCTCCCTAAGACGGCAAAATAGAAAGATGGTCCTTGGGTACATGTTTTAAAACAAAACTATAATGTAAAGATATTTCTAAAAATGAGCAGCTTTGTAATACTCGATGTTTGAAATTGCACAATTGATTATTGAGGCATTTTTCATTCGTGGGATGAGGTGTAAGCCTCAAGACAGTATATATATGTTTGTGTGTATGCGCGCGCGTGCGCGTCTAGGGTGACACGTTAGCAGGCAATGGAGGTGTAAATCCCTTCTAACTCGGGTTCGATTCCTATGGGAATGAAATAACACATAAGGAAGTGGTATATCCAAATACGACCCTTTCGAGTATATATATATATATATATATATATATATTAGTATCATAATAAGAGCAATGTTATTAATAAAACTATAATCATAATAACATTTCAAAAATTAACTAAATTTATTTTGCTAGAAAAACCTATCCTAGTAGAAAAGTAACAAAATTAATAAAAACCTATAATTCACATAAATTAATTGTGATGGCAGCAAAATGTTGGTAGAGAATGGAGGCAACAAAGGAGTCAGTAGAAGCAGGGTCATGGCGGCGTCAAAAGCAATAGAAGGCAACGAGATATGTTGTATGCGTAAGGAAAGAACTTACGCGATATGGTAAGAAGGGAGATCATGTGTGTTAATCGCAGAAGCAACAAGAGGAAATGGTTATGCCAACAACGATTGAGGTGTTGGATACGATCGGTTGCGATATCATTGTGAGAGAGGAGTATAATGCCTTCGTGAGAGATGAGATGACAGGCCAGGTTGTGCGTGCGCAAGGAATGAAATTGAGCAACTACGATTCAGGTTAGCTAGAAATTAAAAAAAAAAATCTCTAATTATCAATGTGGATGCCATGATATTTATGCGATGAAGCGCGCCTCGTCAAATATGAGGCGTGCACCTCTCATGGGAAACAAGAGTTGTGCGCCTCGTCGCGCTAGAGGGCCAAATTCTGCAAAGGTGAGCCTCGCATTGCGCACTTTCAAACACTAGTTATACTCTATGGAAATGAAGTAAAATAGGATGTGTCTAAAGTAAGAAAAAAATGCAATATCCAGGCTATCCTAATGTCGGGTCTGGCATCTTCATTCACTCAAGAACTAATGAAGAAAATTGATGAATGTATCCCTCAAAAATAATCACATTTATCTCCAACACTCACGGCTCAAGGATGTTTATGATGGAAAGGGTTGTATCATGAGTTTCACTTGAACATTACTCAATGCTCTAAATGCTGCCCAACTGCTACTAATCAATCCCCCTACTCGTCATGAATGATCAATCCCATGCCCGTCGCAAAGGACAGAAGTAAGGCCCCATCAGCATTCACCTTGATCAAACCAGGATAAGGGGCACCAACAATGTTGTTAAGGCAGCCTGGAGGGAAAACTTGAATGCTCCTGAATTGACTGGCGATTGTCTATGTGAGTGTTGCAAGACTTTGGCAGCCATAATTGTGGGGGTCCCTAGCGATCTCCCGTGCTTCTTGGCAATGTGAGCTCTCCTACTTTGATGAATTTCACTATAGTAGATGCAAGCTTAGGCATTTCATGAACTCATGGTTAATTTCAAAGCTCGTGTAGCCTCCTCAAAGCTATGAAACAAGGGGACATCAAGCTTCACAGACTGAGGACACTGATGATCTTGATAAGAACCATGCACCTCACGGCTAAAAGCAATCTATCCTCCACCTCGGCACAGAAGAGCAACCAATGCAATATGCTAACCCTCTCCTATGCAGCAACACATTGGTAAAGTGGGCATCCTTTATAAGCCACCAGCATAACATAATTTCCCTTCGGCCGATATGTAGTTTATACAACCCTAAATCTGTCAATGGATGTGGCAAAATAAATTCATATGGAAGGTTCAGAACTGTCTTCTCTGATCAACTGTGGGACAATTATGGTTGACCTTAATTCAGTTAAGCAAGACATTCAACTTAAAGTTTTTCTACCATGTTGATGTCAAGAAACATAGGGCATATGGCAAAGGGGAAGATGTGTGTCCATGAAATGAAAGTCTTCTTTTATGGATGAGTGGCTTGGCTGAAGAGAATGGAGGACATCAAGTTGTTGACCTTCTCGCTAGTCAAAAGGCAATAATCATTTGAAACTGAGTAGAGGTCTCTAGCTATCGACATAGAAGCCCAAGAAAAAAAAATGATGTCTCAGGAGTAAAAATGGCGGGAGATGTAGGTCACGCTATTGACAATGCTAATCCACAAGTGGTTCCCACTTTGCTATAAGGCCATTGATAAAAGTTTCAAGCGGAGAATAAAGAGGTGCAATTAAAGAGGGCAGCCCTGACGGAACCCACACAAGACTTCAATCCACTGTCCTCTAGCAATTGATCAACTTAGCATGCATAATGCACTGTAGAACTCACACGATGAATCCATGCAGAAAGTCCATAGTAATCAGCACCCCCTTAAGTGCTCTCCAACTTATTCAGTCAGAAGCTTGCTCCATATCAATCTTGCGGGCATGAAACCCGGCGTTACCATAAACCGCCTGAATTTGTTGATAACATCCCAAGCATATAGGCGTTAGCTGGAGATGGAGCAATGAGGAACAAAAGCTCCTCAAGGGCAAACATGCTTCTCAGGCAGTTGGCCAAAACCATGAGCTAATTGGGATTTTGGAGTCACTGAGGCAGTTGACCAAAACCTTGAGCTAATTGGGATTTTGGGGTCAGTGCAGTTGCAGTTCTCTGTAGAGTTTATTTTTTGTTAGGAATGTCATGCATAAATTTTAGAAGTTGACGAGTTCCATAAGGTTCAAACTAAAACAGACGAATGGCATTATTATTAGAATTTAAGTTTTCAGCCTTGCTTGCATCATTACCAGGGTAGAAGGTCCGGTCACCTAGTCGTGCAAAAGAACTTATGAACTCATTTTGGTTGTGTTTGCCTGCAGACAGAATTTATTTTAAATGAGATTATCAAATCCAATAAATCTGATCGTCACTGCCACAGAGATGAACTCACGAGCGATGGCATGAAGAAATTCGTAAGTCTGTCTCACAGTCAGATTTACGTTCTAAAAGAGACAGAATGCAGGAAGAAAAGACTAAAAATTTTCAGTTTAACGGGACACTGGATTTAATTTTTGCTTTTTTTTTTTTATGTTTGGGTGAATTTATGCTAAATCCATGGCTAAATTCTCTTTAAATTATGCTACCAAACACCGTCTTTATGTAGCTTTTGATGTTGCCCAAGGATCCTCAGATTTATCTCTAGATCATAAAAACTAGTGATGGTGAAATTCCAAGGCGTAGAACTCCTTATGAAGCGAGATCAATGTGGCTCCTTGCACTAGAAAACTTATAGACCATTACTTATAATATTTATGTTTGAGAAATCGATCGTTTGAGATTGTAGTTTTCCTAAATGATAAAACGTGGAGATTTAAATAGAAAAGGTAAATTTTTATACCTCTAACCACTTGACATCGTTCAGGGAATTTTAACAGCTCTTCAAATTTTGCATTTTCAAATAGCTTTATCAATAATGAGTTGCCTCTCTTCTGTGCTTCATCTGGAGGAGTTGTGCCCCATCTGTGTTTTGATACAAAGTGCTAATAGATTAAAAAAATGGTCAAAACCAGATGCTCTAAAAATTATATGCAATAATGAAGAGTAAATAATTCCAACGCTCTTGAAAAAGTAAAAGGTGTTGTATTTTTAGGACAAACTTATGTATAAAAAAAGTCAGGACGTATTAACATGTCTATCAAATCAAGCTTTAAGCTGGTCCCTATGAACAATCCAGTCCACACTTATGTTTAACAATAATATTGCCAAAATTCCAACATTAATGGAGCTCCAAGATCAAAACCCTTCATTATAGCTTATACTTAATTCCAAGCTTCAGTTGGAGAAAACAGTTAAAAGAACAAAAGCCAAGCATAATCCTATTAAGTTTTTAAAAAGAAATCAAAATATCTCAATTAAATTAAGCATGGAAAAAATAAAAAGTACTAAAACAAAAGAATAATAAAAATAAATTATTAGATGGTGGGAGGCATAGCACCTTTTGGGTGTTTTGGATATATAGAAATCATCTAGCATCTCAGTGTTTTCAGCTTGCGTTGGCACTTGAATCAGTTGAACATGAAAAAAAAAAATGGGTTCATATGAAGATGTGCAAGCAAATGATCCATATGCTAGCGATGAGACTGCAATGATTCTCAAGATCATCACTATTGCAAGATGATGCTTACTAGCACCTAAACCATGGTATGTTCAAGCCCTTAGTATCAACAAGTAGACTTTTTGCATGCGAAGCCTCTCCTTTAATAAATAATGTTGATGTTCCTACACTTCCAACCACTATTTCTACTAAAATTGACAGAGTCAAATGAAATATCACTTAGTAGATTTCTATAGGGGCTTTGAGAATACAAATGTATACAGTTCAAGGGACAGATCAACTTTCGATTTGAACTCTTGGATAGCACATAATGAGCTGATGAAGATAGCACCTAATCTATATAATACTTACTATCTATGAAGTTCTAGAGATTAGTTCTTTAAACCAAATGAAGGGAATTGATTCAGCCTAGAAACCTACATAAAGGATTAGCGCTAAGTCAAAGTTGAAATTGAACCAAAATAATTCATAAATTTATTTTTAGGTCATTAATAAGAACTATTTTAGATTTTCTATATTTATTTTCTTTTAAACTAGGTTGAATTTGACTAATAATTATTTGATAAGATTTGAGTCAAAAAACATAAGATTAGTTTCCTTTTTAAAATTTAAATGTATTCTCCTTTTCAACAAATAGGATGCCAATGATGAACCATATCAATTTAAAATTAAGAAAAAAAATTTTAAATGTTATATAAATTCATTTCATGAGACGATGCTTTCCTTCTTAAAAACCCAGCAACACATTGAGATAGGATCACTTCAAAATATGAAACTTTTAAATGTTTTATAGTTTTGTATTCTTTTAGCGAGTAAGGTGATTTTTACTAAAATAGTTATGACAAAAGGAAAAATAACATTGGATGTAAATTATTTGGTACGGCTACTTTTAAAATTAGACCTTCAAAAATATTTGAATTTTTTAATTCTTTAGGTAAAGGAGAAACTATGTTTAAACTTAGTGGCTCAAGTAATGAAAAAATGTCTAAAAAATATATATTCAATCCTTCTAAGATCTAATCTAATTTAACTAGCCCATAATCTTCTAATTATTGTTTACTCTCTATGATTAATATAATAAATCAATATAAAAAGAAAACTCTTTCTAACAAAAAGTTTAAACCAATCAGAAAATTTTTTTAGATTATTCATCAGTCCATTTTTATAAGAAATATTTGATTTTAATTTTTATCTTCTTATAAATATTATAGTTTCTAAATTATTAATTATATATTTCAATATTTAATAATGTCTCAAGCCAATAATTTATCGTATTTTCAAAATAGAATAATAATCTCACACTTTTATGCTTCTACAATAGTCATATGTGATAATTGGGAGAATAATCATCTTATAAATTATTATATAACATTCAGTATCTAAAATAATAGCAATAATAGGTTATTTATTCATTATGCATTGAATGAAAAATTACTTTTTTCTTACTCTTTCAATCTCTCTTTCTCTCATATCCTCTTTCACAAAATTCCTCCTCATATCTCCTCCCTCAATGTATTTCTTACCGAGATAGTGATTAGAGCAGATTAAATCAATGTTGAAGATTAAGAAAAAAAAAAAAGATTAAGAAAAGTAACATGGTCATAAAAGTAAAAATGGTCCATAGTAACACCTTATTTAACACTTGAATGGATAATTATATTTTCAATTTGGAATCTTCCAAATCAATCTCATATTTTTCATAGATTGAATGTCTCCTTCCTATTAACGGGATAACAGAAATTTCATCTTTCAAACCTCAGTTAATCTAAAGGAGTAGCATTCATTAAAAATCCAAAATAACTCGAACAAAACTAATGTTATTGTTGATTATCTCAACTTTCTTATGCTGCTAGATATTTATCAGATTAGGATGCTAGGTAAGAAGCTAGATCCTACAGAGAAAACATTGTGAACGTGTTGACGCTACCAGTATAGTTCCCAAGTTTCTCTAAGGTCAAAGACCTATATAGCAATTTAGCACAAGTTTTATGAAGAAGAGGTATAATGAATAATGTTAGTGTAATGATATGTGCAATCCATCACACTTCCAACAATTCACTTTTTTTAATTCAAGAAACAAGTCTCTAAAGAAAAGCTATCCCATTCGAAAGAAGGAAATAAGTAGACAATAGTTCTCGTTCCTTCATCATACCTATCTACAACGAAAACACTGGCCCCAGCTTCTATAAGCACTTCAGATATCATATATAGCCCCTCACAAGCAGCTATATGAAGCGGTGTACGCTGATCATAGTCTTTTGAATTTGCATCAGCTCCATAACATAAAACCCGTTTAAGAAAGTCTACATCTCCTCTTGAAACAGCAGCACATAGCTGGTTGCCAGCATCATTGAGACCTAATTTTGCGCCTTTATTAAAGAGTAGAGAAGCCACTGGATCATGTTTGCACCTTATAGCCTCCAATAAAGGTGTGCTCCCATTTTTATCTGGTAAAAATGTGAAACACTCGATACCATCATGTAACCATAAGCTCCAAACAACAAAGCTTTACAACATTATCACAACACCGATGATGCTTGGGGAAAAAATAAATATTTGCATATTACCCGGAGCATTAATGTCAACACCCTCTTGAATGAGAAAAAAAGCAATATCTTGGTATCCTCTCGATGCTGCTATATGCTGAAAACAAGGTATTAAAAAAAGGCTCAGGTAATTGAATTAACTCGAAACGAATGCATATATTTTGAATTGATATTTATTAAATCCATCACTACCTATATTATTCAATCACATTATCTCAATATAGCACATTCAGTACTTACCAAAGGGGAGCGCCCATCATAATCAGTTGTCTTGAGGTCTGCTCCAGCTCGAATCAAGCCCTTAAGGTGATTTAGGTCTCCATTCGAAGTGGCACTATTTACTTTTAGAGCAAACTCTGCCTCCTGCCTTCCAATATGTAGAGTGATATCTGATTCTAACTGCTTGATCTTGCTACTGTATACACCACCCTGTATGCTATAAATTTATTAGTTTCACAAAAGAACTCAATAATTTCTTCCCATCAATATAGGGCAATTGCCTGTGATCAATCTAAAAATTATGAGCTATCAAGAGAACATGATAGCACATTGAACTAATGCGTATGTACCTCAAACAGGTTGCTTAAGACTATTCTTGCATCAACAAAATTTATCTCTAAGATATTTGTAAAACTTTGCTTATTAAGTCGCAAGAGTCTGCAGAGCTCACAAACACGAACAGTAAAAGGCTGGGGTATATTGTAAAGAATGGCAGTCTCCCCAATTGAACTATTACGCTCGAACCGGGAGATGATCTCTTCAGTTCCATCTTGACCTATCTCAACACCTTCCTATAAACAGAAACTTCCATTAATATCCAAATATTTAAATTTTGATTCATTAGCGTTCTAAAAATAATTATTATAATATAATTTCTGTCCGACTATCCCTTCCTGACTTAATAATTTTAAGATCTCATGTTGAGTGTGACATAAAAGTAGTTTCACTCAAAATTGGTCATGTTTGAAATTTGAAAATAATTCAAAAAAAATCCTCAACAAAATTTTGCACAGGGAATTGTCAATTTCCATTGGATTTCTATTGGGCTTGTTAAACATTAGACGTGTAACAGCAATCATGATAATTGAAGCACCAATTTCAATGCTAATCCAATAATAAATAGCATTTTATTCTAAGACATTCAATGAAGAATTTCCCAAAAAAAAATTGACCTCTAATTTGGAAAACCCTATGATATTAAAAATATGTTAAAAAAAACATTAGGTTCATTGCTTAATACTAAATGCTGATAGAATTTAAGCATGAATGTACTGAAATTTACCAGCACTCCATGGCACACAAAATATAGTTGATCTACTGCATTGCCCTGTTCCAGAATCAATTCACCTGGAAGAAAATACTCCTCTTGCAGCCTAATCACCTGCAAATCACGTGGTGGCATAAGCAAACAGCACCCAAACATTTCAAGTTAGTGCAGACCTAATAATGGAAGCAAAAACAACATAAGTGGGAACTACACATTAGTAGACACGACCATTAATCCATACCAGAGGAATTTTTTTAATAGATGAATTAATCCCAAGTCTTGTTACACAGGAGTGCTTATGGCAGTTCTAGGTACTTCAGATAGGCAGTAAGAAAAACTTAACCAAAAGTTTCTATCCAATGAATTTAGGCTTAATTTTTCTGAACAATTACATTTATTTGCATCTAAGAAAAAGCAAAAAACAAGAAAAGATTGCTTTCTTAAAGACAATATCAAGGCACATTGATGTCTATTGCAACCCAATTATCCCAAGGGGTAGGTATTGACTCAATATGCATGCATGAATCAATATAGGAGATAGGTGCCAAGCTTCATGCGTGAAAATTTAGAAATGGGAAGGTGATTTGTTAGTCATGGACTCAATATTCATGCATGGACTATATGGCGAGGTAGGTACCCAACTTTTGTGGAAATTTGAAAATGAGTTAGGTGATAGATTTGTATTGGATTAGTAGCTATATAAGCTGCATGTGAAAGATTAAATTGCATAGAAGCATACAAAAATCTTCAGTTTTTAGTGAAATTGTCCAGAAAGAACTAAAAAAAGAGGAGAAGAAAAGATAGAAAAAAATTTTAAAAAAAGAGAAGGATATACCAACAAGTTCATTCTAAGGATGTAGGCTCCAAAAGATTGGTGCATGGCTTTCCCAAAAGAGTTTGGTTTCAAGTTCAATTTTTCAATGGCAGGTTATATTTTTAAATAGGATTACCCATAATTTTTTCTTCATTTTTTCAAAGATTTCATAATTTGGTACAACTCTTCTGCAAGTGTAAACCCTTATAGTTAATTACTTATCTTGATGACAAGAGAATATTAAATTAAAGCTATTCATTAGAAGCTAAGTGATTAACTTATGATAGAAGCAATTTTTTAAAAGACGAGAATTTTTCACCTTTAGCTTAAAGAAGATGATAAAATAATTAATGTTGACAAATATGATTAAGATTTCATAGCTCTATCATCCAAGGTTGTCACAAACCCGGGTCCATTAGAGGTGAAAATCAAACCAAACCAAACCTGACCCAAGAATCATTGTAAGCATTCATGGATTGTGTCATCCAAAGAAATCTTGTAGACCTAGAATAAATGTTTGTCCAATTGTATAATTTTAAATCGACCTAACAAAAAATTTAGTGTGTTGTCAAATGCAATTTATAATTCAAAATTTTGAAAATTTGGGATATTGAGGAACTTTTATGCTTTGGCAATTATTATAATTTAATTGTATTATTTTGTAAAAAAACACCAGCTAAAGGGCCCTAATCATATGTATTTCTTTTCATGTGTCATTTGATAATAAGACAACATGGTTAGAGAACATGTGTCATGTTCTTAGCCGCATGATATATTGGTCTTAAAAGTATACCTAAAATTGGTCGTTTATGAGCTTATAATAAGCTTAAAGTACCAACACCAATAACTTGTTGCAAATGATGTATGAATTGTTGTTCTAAGATTTAAATAGAAAATTTAACTTCAAAATTTTAGATTTTATAATTTTCATGAGTTTTTACAATTTCTTAGGATTTAAGCCTAAAATAATTTCCATTAAAATTTAGGGTGTTTTGAAGATAGAATTCCTACATATAAAATTTTCTATTAATGCGATCATCATCTTGGTATTTGAATGACTTTAATTTGTTGTCTTGGACCATCTAAACTTGTCTACCGCCATATAAAAAATTGAATTTACGATTCAAAATGGTTTGAATTTGTTTGAAAATTCATCAAATTACAAATCTTGTCAACTCTATCTTTATATTTAGTATATAAAGATGACAGTACCAAATTTTGCAAGTATAACTATACCCAAAAATTTAATTTTAAAATAAATTTTATGTATAATATGCCTTGAATGGTGTACGTAAATTAAAGATAAAAATAATTTTTCATATTTATTTTTGGGCATTCATATGTAAATTTGCTTGCTATAAATTTGCTTGACTTGAGAATCCTCTTTTGATTGTTGTGTGGCACCTCATAAGAGATCAAAGTCTTATTAATATGATCATATATAAACAAAAGATTAAACTTTAAAAGATGAGACAAACGATCTATATTAACTAAGTAAAAAATAAAATAAAATAGATTAATTAATTAGTAGTTCAGTATGAACTGTATGATGATTTCATTTTTAAGAGACGATTAAGCTGGTTATGTTCAAATAGGGAAGGGAAGAAGAGGCAAAGAGCAAGATCAGTCATGAGAAAGAGAGAAAGAGTAATATAAGAAGAACGATATTGCATACGTTAAAGGGCAAGCGCTCCTAAGTTGAAGATGGTGTCATCGAGGAGATACTATGCATGAAGGAAGAAGGAGAGCGATGTTGAAGCCAAAGGGAGGAAGCATGCCTATCTTGTGTTCGTGAAGTAAGTCTCCTACAGGACACAAGTAGCGAAAGGGCAATGCAGTGTGGCATCACATGTAGGAGGCTTAGAACCTAAGCTGTAGAGTGATCAGTGGCTTCAAAGGGAGAAAGGACCTCCAAATCCATGAGCGGGAGGGAGATGCATTCACGTCCTGTGCGAAGGAGAAGATAAGGGAAAAAAGAGTGGTGCATGAAGTTTTTGTTCACGTGCATGAAGTTTTGTGCGCTCTGTGCACGAAGGAGAAAAGAAGGGGGTCAAGCGGCTCTATACGTCAAGGAAAAAGGTGAAGCATGCAGGTAAGAGTCATATGAAATACTTTATGACAGTAAGCACATAACTTCAATAAGGTGAGTCAATATAGGAAAACGTCAATGACAACTGCTAAGTCCAAAATTGGTTAAAAGATGAATAACACTATGAATGCTATGAGTTGAAGTGCAAAACAATAAAGTCAGAGATTAGAGATTTTCTATTTTTAAAATTTATGTCAATGAAAAGTATAACTAGATTTGTCTAGGAAAGCAAAGTGAGTTCGAGGTACATGGGACCTTTTGAAATAATCAAAAAAATGAGCAAATTGACTTATAGGCTAGCTTTATTAGCTAATATGACGAATATTCACAATCTATTCCATATATATATATATTAACAATCTTTAGTTGAAGAGCATTAATATATATATATATATATATGAAGATGATTATACACGCTTATTTGCTAGAATAGTAATCTGGATTGATAACAAAGCAATAAAGATCTTAAAATGGTCAATGGATTTTCACCCACATACGAAACCACCAATCATTCCGGTCTGGATTCGCCATCTGAAGCCAGAGTACTGGCTTGAAATTTTAATATTTTACTCAAAAAGTATTGCACTCTATTACCTCAGTCTATGGTAAGTCACTCAAAATGGATATTCCTGCTTATAATCTTTCTCGTCCATCTGAAGTCAGAGTACTTGTTGAAATGGATATTACTTTAATCGTTTCTGAAGAAATTTGGTTAGGCACACAAAATCATGGATATTGGCAAAAAGTTGTGATTATGCATTTCTCTTTGTACTGTTTGAACTATCGTATGTTTGGTCACTCCAGTTTTCAATGTCATCATCTACAGTCTCATCTCAGACCATTGATCATCAAAAGGATACTATTGATCATGCACTTTGCTCCAAGTTATTAACATTATTGATCATCATCTACAGCCTCATCTCAGACCAGTTTTCAATGTCATCATCCCCCCTCTTGATCTGCTCCAAGTTATTGACACTATTGATCATCAAAAAGATACCTGAAGATGTCACTATCATCGCAGGTAATATGTCAACCATTCAGCCTCCACACAATGCTCATGATGTAGATTCGACAAGAGCTTCACCTACCCTAGAACCTATCACCTATGTAACGGGTGACAATATTTTTACTATTTTTCTACCGCCTCATCGGGTTGAACAAGAAATAAATGTTACTCAGGCAAATTCGGTGCAACAGCCTTCACCTATTCGACCACTTTTGGATCAATCCACTGATCAGATGAGTTAATCCTCGAATAATGAATGACAAGTTTACATATCCAGGAGGAAGAAGAAGAATGGAGATACTTTGGTTACTTCGGTAGTACACACCTCACCAATTTGTTAGCTGGCTCCCTTCCGAGAACTAGAGGCAGAGGCAAGACTAAATTGGGTCGTCCCTAGCTTTTTGCGCACTTTGATAACTTTGGATTTTTTTTTTTTCCTGATCATATATGTACCTTTCCCTTTTTGTTTTGGGATTTTGTGTGTGTTGTACCGTGTGGGTTGGGTGCTTTCTTTTAAGCCCACTCATACAACCTATCTGTATCTTTTTTTCTTTAATATATTAGCCCTCAGGCTTTATATATATATATATATATATATATATATATATATCAATACATAACATATCCCAGGAAGAAACATGGAAGGAAGGGAAGAGAAAGGAAAGAAGAGGAAGAAGGGAAGGTAGGAAAGGAATAGAATAAAGAAATTTTATTTTGGGAGATTAGGAAATTAATATATTAAATGTTTATATTTATATAAATATTTGTATCAACCCCATTTAACTTAGCAATTTCGTTAGTTTCTTTCAGTTTTATAATTGCACTGGTTAGCCAAATTGGTTGGATGCAAGTTTTGTACTGATTTAAAAAGGGAGTATAGTGAAGGAAAAATTGTGGGCTTGGTGTGTATGAGGAGAAACCAATTTGAGGTAAGATGCAATTGAAAATACAATTCTTCAAATGAATTTTAATGCAAAAGGAATTAAATACGAGATAGAGAAAAAGGCTAGATATTACTAAAAACTATGATTTAGATATACATTATTGTCCTAGTAGTGAATATTATTTAGATATATGAAATTTAATAGCATTACGTCACAAATGAAATAGTTAGTATCTTAAGTCGGAAGTCCATAGCTATGGCAAGTCGGATCATTACTAGGCAGTCAAAATTGATTAATGAATTGAACATTTTACAATTG